GGTCAATCCGGATGATTTCACATTCACCATTTTTCTTTCCATTGAAAAAGTTTTGGAGACTTCATCGAGCCGATTTCTTATTTGATTGTACATCGAATTCTGCACGTTTGTATCGTTCGAAAAATGGGGCACAACATCTTCTCTCAACCTGAGGTTTCTCTGTGGACAATAAGCAAAATATTTCAAAATTATCATCTAATTAAATATATAAATTTTCTATAAAAAATTTCAATTCGAATTTTTTGTTTTCAAAATTCTTTTGGAAATTGTGAGATTTCGAGTCAAAAACTTATGCCAGTTGATGATAGATTAAGTTCATGTCAATTTATTTCAAAGTTAGATGATTCAGAATATGTATTTGAAAATAAAAATATTTGCTTTTTCGAGATCTATCGATTGATTCATTTACCTGTTGTGAACTAACTTCAACACTATCTTCATCTCCGCATGATTCCACACGTAGCAGAAATACCTAATAAAACAAGTATAAATTTATTGAAATTTTACAGTCAAAAAAAAATCTCATTAAAATGATACTCACAAGGAAAGCGAACAGAACTATTGCTTTAGTGTTCATTTTGAATCGATAATTGACTTTGAAGCGGGATGAGCTGCTGTTTTATAGAATGGAATGAGCTGGTCCGCATTTTGGAAGAATTTTCAACTGAGTTATTTAAATACCTTTGACAAAGTAAATGAAATTTTCGTTGAAAATTCATAAACAAAAATTGATCATGACTCAAATGTTGTCCTTGTGATCAGAACACGTGTAATATACTTGATCAAATTCATTTCACATTTCAAATTCAAATTGATAATATTTTAGCATCGTAATTTTTGCGATCGTGAAATACACCAACTGATCAAATTTTGCTGCGACCGTACTTCAACGCATTTAATATTTTGGTCAGTTGATTCGCTGACAATAAAAACAGCGCATTTTGTCGCCGAACAAAATAAAACACCGCGTATTTCTATGTGCCGTAATACAACAACAACTTTGTGTAGTAAAACCGCTGTGTTTCGTTGCGCGTGCACAAACTAGTATGCGTAAATTTTACTTCAATACCTGCCTGAACAGAATTGTGTAATATTTCTAACGAAATCTCGTGAAACTGAATGTCATTGATCTACGCGACGGCTTCGTTCTTGGGCGATCCTTACGCCCCTCACTAAACCACACTCCATGGGGAGAGACACCATTAGCTATTTTTTTGAAGTTCATATAAATACTAGAGGAAAATAGCAAAAATAGCAAAAAATAGCAATATTATTGAAGAAATAGCGATTTGTTATTTACTGTTTTCGAGTTATTTTATGAAATCAAATGGAACAATTTGTTCTTTTCTGGGAAATAACACTAGAAAAATTGCCAAAATATAATTTTTTTGCTTTCTTTCCAAGCATACAACAATAACTTGATGAGTGTTACTTGTACGTGAACTTTCAAACTGTCACATTGCACACAGGAAATATTAGCAAAAAATAGCACTTTTATTGAGGGAAACTAGCAAAAATAGCATACATTAGGAAACAATAGAATAAATTAGTGAAACTAGCGTTGGTGTCTCTCCCCTTGCCACACTCTAATCCAACTGAATGTCAACAAAACAAAGTCCTTGTCTATTATAGGGGAAAAGTGGTAAAGGACCTTGGAACTTTGCTTCAATGATGAGTTCAACTGACATAAATAGGCTCAGTATTTGGCGGTACCGCACTGCACTCACCACGATGCCGCACAGTTTTGTTAGTTTATTGGTCTTTTTTCAACCGTTACAATTGACAGTTATGAATGATAAAATTTTCTTCTAATTTTTAAAAGTTTTCATTTCATTATGTGACATTTATCTGTAAGCTGCAACTGAAGGAACATATTCGCAAAAAAAAGTTTATGAAAAATGACAACCGCAAGGTTACATTATTGAAACAACGCTGTCATAATGATTGTAGCGTCCATCAGCGTTCGAACGATAAGCGACACATGCAATGCCCTCATATGCATTATTGAATTCATTTACGAATCTAAAATCATCATTTTCACGAAACAGAAGAATGTTCACATTGTATATCTCTGAAATTGCACTCAATGATTCGTATCCACCGTAGTATCCCGATTTTGATAATGATTCGTCCAAAAAGGATTTAGCTTTTGTTTTCACTTGCTCTTCTGTTAATTTCTCTCCTGGTACGGACTCTTGCTCTTCATATATTTTACCTTCGATAGAATGTTTGTAACGATCAAAATTGGCTTTTATATGGCGCACAACCTCTTCTCTTAAGCGGGCTGCTTGATGGGCCAAATCCCTTGAATGGCTGTAAAAGAGTTGATGAGCCATTGCAGCAAACAAACAATTTCCATTGCTTGGAATTTGAGCCACTCCAATCGACTTGGTCAATCCGGATGATTTCACATTCACCATTTTTCTTTCCATTGAAACAATTTTGGAGACTTCATCGAGCTGATTTCTAATTTGATAGTACATCGAATTCTGCACGTTTATATTGTTCGAAAAGTGGGGCACAACATCTTCTCTCAACCTGAGACTTCTCTGTGAACAATAAGCAAAATATTTTAAAATTATCATCTAATTAAATATATAAATTTTCTATAAAAAAATTTCAATTCGAATTTTTTGTTTTCAAAGTTCTTTTGGAAATTGTGAGATTTCGAGTCAAAAACTTATGCCAGTTGATGATAGATTAAGTTCATGTCAATTTATTTCAAAGTTAGATGATTCAGAATACGTATTTGAAAATAAAAATGTTTGCTTTTTCGAGATCTATCGATTGATTCTTTTACCTGTGGTGAACTAACTTTAACACTATCTCTATCTCCGCATGATTCCACACGTAGCAGAAATACCTAATAAAACAAGTATGAATTTGTTGAAATTTTACAGTAAAAAAAAAATCTCATTAAAATGATACTCACAAGGAAAGCGAACAGAACTATTGCTTTAGTGTTCATTTTGAATCGATAATTGACTTTGAAGCGGGATGAGCTGCTGTTTTATAGAATGGAATGAGCTGGTCCGCATTTTGGAAAAATTTTCAACTGAATTATTGAATTGTAAATATTGTAAATGAAATTTTCGTTGAAAATTCATAAAAAAATAAAAAGAATTACATTGGTAATCCCGAACTTTTCCGTACCGTTGGCCTGCATAGGTTATTTTTTGTGAATTTTCTTGAAATAAAGGCAGTGAAAATATAATAATAAAAATAAAGTGGAAAATCGGTCACTTTAACTAAAACTTCGACAATTTTGTATGAGAGGTACCCGTAAACCGATTCTTATTGGCTTTAAACTTTCTCAGGTTTCATTTTTTGGAGAAAAAATAAGATCCTAAAAGTTTCATGTTGATCGCATTTGCAGAAGTTTGGTTTTTGGCCCTCATTTTTTTTCAACAAAATTTCGACAAAAATTGAGGACAAAAAATCAAACTTCTGCAAATGCGATCAACATGAAACTTTTAGAATCTTATTTTTTCTCCAAAAAAATGAAACACCAGAAAGTTTGAAGCCAATCAAAATCGATTAACGGTTACCTCCTATACAAAATTGTCCAAAAATCGGTAATTTTAGTCAAAATTTCAAAAAACTTGTATGAGAGGTACCCGTTAATCGATTCCGATTGGTTTCAAACTTTCAAAATCTTTTTTTTCTCCCAAAAAATGAAATCCCAGAAAGTTTGAAGCCAATCGGAGTTGATTTACAGGTACCTCCCATACGAAAGTGTCAATTTTTCGAGGTTTTTCTCAGGGCAAGTACCCCAGGATCAAATCGAAAATGGCCCATCTTCGAACTTGAACTAAGATTATCTACTACAGATTTTGATTATCTCAATTATTTTTCGAGTTATCGTGTTAACAAACACCAACGACGACAACGACGACGACGACGGCACACGAACGGAAAAGTATCTCAAAAAGTGGTTTTCTATGCGTTTCATGAGTTTTTATAATGATCTAAACCGATTTTGCGAAAAAAGTTTCCGGGACCAATTCCTATACTTGACACGTTGTGTACGGAAAAGTAAAAAATTGATCATGACGCAAATGTTGTCCTTGTGATCAGAACACGTATATGCGTGATCAAATTCTATACATTTCACATTTCAAATTCAAAATGATAATATTTTAGCATCGTAATTTTTGCGATCGTGAAATACACCAACTGATCAAATTTTGCTGCGACCGTACTTCAACGCATTTAATATTTTAGTCAGTTGATTCGCTGACAATAAAAACAGCGCATTTTGTCGCCGAACAAAATGAAACACCGCGTATTTCTATGTGCCGTAATGCAACACCAACTTTGTGTAGTAAAACCGCTGTGTTTCGTTGCGCGTGCACAAACTAGTATGCGTAAATTTTACTTCAATACCTGCCTGAACAGAATTGTGTAATATTTCTAACGAAATCTCGTGAAACTAAATGTCATTGATCTACGCGACGGCTTCGTTCTTGGGCGATCCTTACGCCCCTCACTAAACCACACTCTAATCCAACTGAATGTCAACAAAACAAAGTCCTTGTCTATTATAGGGGAAAAGTGATAAAGGACCTTGGAAGCTTTGCTTCAATGATGAGTTCAACTGACATAAATAGGCTCAGTATTTAGCGGTACCGCACTGCACTCACCACGATGCCGCACAGTTTTGTTAGTTAATTCTTTTTCTCCTAACTAATTCTTTTCAGACTCAAATTTTCTATTGAAAAACAAAAATTGAGTGGTTTCTGACCAAATTTCGTTGAATCTTGATGTCAAAAAAGGCCAAATATTCGAGGAATAATACTATATAGCAAATCAAAGAAGATCGAATATTATTCAAGAATCAGAGAATTTACCTAGGAATTAATTCCCTTCAGAATAGCTAACAAAAGTTTATCGATCCAGCGAAATAAATCATTGTATTTTTGAACATTTTTTGTCCATTCTCAAGTCAATATCAATTTGAAAATATCGAACGAGCATAGTAATTGCATTGACTCCCATTGTATTTCCATGTAATTAAACTGACTCATTGTTTACTTTGATACAATTTATTGGTCTTTTTTCAACCGTTACAATTGATAGTTATGAATGATAAAATTTTCTTCTAATTTTTAAAAGTTTTCATTTCATTATGTGACATTTATCTGTAAGCTGCAACTGAAGGAACATATTCGCAAAAATAAGTAACTTATTATAAGTTTATGAAAAATGACAGCCGCAAGGTTACATTATTGAAACAACGCTGTCATAATGATTGTAGCGGCCATAACCGTTCGAACGATAGGCCACACATGCAAAGCCTTCATATGCATTATTGAATTCATTTACGAATCTAAAATCATCATTTTCACGAAACAGAAGAATGTTCACATTGTATATCTCTGAAATTGCACTCAATGATTCGTATCCACCATAGTATCCCGATTTTGATAATGAATCGCTCAAAAACGATTTGACTTTTGCATTCACTTGCTGTTCTGTTAATTTCATTCCCGATCTGGATTCTTGCTCTTCATATATTCTTCCTTCGATAGCGGGTTTGTAACGATCAAAATTGGCTTTTATATGGCTCACGACCTCGGCTCTTAAGCGGGCCGCTTGCCTGGCCAAATCCCTTGAATGGCTGTAAAAGAGTTGATGAGCCATTGCAGCAAACAAACAATTTCCATCGCCTGGAATTTGAGCCACTCCAATCGACTTGGTCAATCCGGATGATTTCACATTCACCATTTTTCTTTCCATTGGAACAATTTTGGAGACTTCATCGAGCTGATTTCTAATTTGATAGTACATCGAATTCTGCACGTTTATATTGTTCGAAAAGTGGGGCACAACATCTTCTCTCAAACTGAGCCTTGGCGAAATATTCTGTGGACAATACACAAAAGAATTCAATGTTATTACACAATAAATTAATTGGAACTTTCGATTCGAATGTTTTTTCCACCAAAACTCTATTGGATGTTGTGAGATTTTGAATCGAAAATGTATGCCAGTTGATGATGAATTGAATTTTCGTCAATTTCCAAAGTTAGAAGAATGAGAATACATGTTTGAAAATAAAAATGATTGCGTTTTCGAATTTTCTCGATTGATCCATTTACCTGCTGACTAACTTGGACGCTGACAAGGAAAGCGAACAGAACTATTGCTTTAGTGTTCATTTTGAATCGACAATTGACTTTGAAACGAATTAAGCTGCTGTTTTATAGAATGAAAACAGGAAGCCCACATTTTGGAAGAATTTTCAATTATATTATTTCAATACCTTAGATGAAGTAAATGGAACATTCATTAAAACTCATAAACAACAATTGATCATGACGCAAATGTTGTCCTTGTGATCAGAACATGTGTAATATGCTTGATCAAATTCATTTCACATTTAAAATTCAAATTGATATTATTTTTGGCGTCGTAATTTTTGCGATCGTGAAATACACCAATTGATCAAATATTGTTGCAACCGTACTTCCGTAGTCAGTTGTTTCGCTGAGAATAAAAACAGCGCATTTTGTCGCCGAACAAAATGAAACACAGCGTATTTTCTGCATGCCGTAATGCAACAACAACTTTGTTTAGTAAAAACGTTGTGTTTCGTTTTGTTGGGCGCTCAATACGCTGTTTTTATACCAACCGGTTCAGTTCACTCCCAATGCGCAATTAATTTATAATATATGTACTAAGTCGTGTACGCACTGTGTTTTCAAAGCATTTGAACAACGTGTGTTTTGTGAATTTCTGCTTTTCCTCTTAAATGAAAAACAACAAATTCTTCAAGACTGTAAATGTTTATTAAAAACAAAAATTGAATAGTTTCTGAAAAAATTTCGTTAAATGTAATTGAGATGTCAAATATTCGAGGAATAATATTATATAGCAAATCAAAGAAGTTCGAATATTATTCAAGAATCAGAGAATTTGCCTTGGAATTAATTCCCTTCAGAATAACTAACAAAAGTTTATCGATCCAGCGAAATAAATCATTGCATTGTTGAACATTTTTTTTGGCCCATTCTCAAGTCAATATCAATTTGAACTCACCCGCTCAATCCATCGCTGTTCATGAAAATATCGACCGAGAATAACAATAGCAATGTTTTAACCCTATGTTAAAAACGTTGTGCGAGCATTGCACTCGGATCGTTGAACCCTTTTTCACAACGAATAACATTTAATACGTATTTAATTAGAAAAATTCAATTGAGCTATGATCAAAAAAGGATGTTGTAAAACTGCTTCAAAGAAAAATGGAAAAATGGAAATGATTAAGCTGAACGAGAAACACTTCGTTTCTTGCTCTGCTTTAATAACGGAAAATAAATTATAATTGTTGGCGGCGAAAGAACAAACAAAAAAGGTTCAACAACAGCCAAAGCAAGAATATAAAGAAAAACCGAAATGAAATATTGTTATAATTATT